CTGGCTAATTTTTTGTATTTTTAGTAGAGACGGGATTTCACCGAGTTAGCCAGGATGGTCTCGATCTCCTGACCTTGTGATCCGCCCGCCTCAGCCTCCCAAAGTGCTGGGATTACAGGCGTGAGCCACCGCGCCCAGCCCTCAAGATCTCATATAAATTTCATGCTGTCTGTCTGCTGCGGCATACACAATCACTAATGTTTTCAGTGGACATGTTAAGTTACCAGGAAAAGATTAAATGTATACAATGAGCTCTGCTTAAGAATGTGTGGGTGTGCTAAGTTTTCGGAAAAGGTTAAATGTGTGCCATGAGCTCTGCTTAAGAGGGCAAGCCATGGTGAAATTGATTCTGTAAAGATTAATGTGCAAAAGTTTCTAAAGTTGAGTGTTCCGAGCAGTAAGCTCTGATTCCTGGAAATTTTAATTTACAGAACATTCTTCGGTGATGCTCAAGAAGTGAGATGTGTCTGCTCCGTAAAGATGAGTCAGGAGTAGTCAAGAAGCAGGGGAACTGTCAACTCTGACACACCAGAAATGACACTCAGCAGGGCTTAGCCACCGTGGTCTCCCCTCTGAACCCACAAGGTGAAGTGGAAACCGGAGGGGTGTCAGCCAAGTTACAAAGGAATCGCTGAAACTGGGAGGCCCCACAGGAAAGAAAACGCTGGAAAAATAGAAGCTTCTGGCCCAGTGTTCTCACGCAGGACCATAATAATTAAAAAGAAGTTTTGGCAGCCACCCCAGAGCAAGTTCATGAGGAGAGACGGGTCACAGAGCTGACCAGCAGTTCTGGAGTGAGGGCAGCCCTGGAGAAGGTGAAGTCCCAGGGGATGCCTGCATCCGCGTGGCATGAACCAAGTCTATCAGTGATTCTCCTCTCCCTCGAAACTGTCACTGCAAGATCCCGCTCTGCCAGTTCCTAACTGTGTGACCTTAGGCAAGTTACTCAACCTTTCTGAGCCTCAATAAATGGTAGCTAATATGATTGTTTATTGTTATTAAAAGCGGTTAAATCTTTATGAGGTCATGTAATGCATGGCCATAATCAGGTAGCACTGGGAGAGACGAACATTTCTAAAATAGTAAATATTTTAGACACGGTAGGCCAAGAAGCATATTTGATATGTTATATATATATAAAATATGTGTGTGTGTGTGTGTATTTATATAATGTAGATACTTCTATAACGAGAGAGAAACCTCTGCGTGCCTGGCCCTGTCTGCCTGGGGTGGGCTTCCTGGGGGCGGGCACAGTGTACCCTACACCTGCTGGAGATGGTCCTGGGAAGAAGGGCAGCCTGATGGAGGGAGGGGCCTGGCAAGCTGGCTCAGTGGGCATGGGGAGTTGAAGGGGACTTGGCCACCATGGTCATTTTCTCTCTTTGCCCCAGGGACACCTGAACCAGCTCCTCCTGGAGATCTGGGCCCCTTCCCTCTGGACAGCTGAACAGAAGTGAAGCTAACACATCACCAATTCTCAAGCTTAGATTCTGCAGCTTGGTGCCTGACATTGCAAGAGCAGAGCCCCCATGCTGTAGGGGTGACCAGCATGGGCCCTGTGTGGCAGGAAGGTGAGTCCTCTGGCAGGGGAGGCAGGTGCTGGAAGCCAAGTAGGGGACAGGGACAAATGAAACCACCTCAGCTTGGGTCCTGCAGCTCACGGCACTTGCAGGGTGTCCCTGAGCCATACAGAAGCAGGAGACCACCCACAGTTTGTCCATGGGTCATAGTTTGCTGACCGTAGATGTAGCAAAAGAGACCTAAACGTGACCCCAGTGTGGTTGAGGGGAGTGACCAGTGAGCACACCCGTGCCAGCGTTCTCTAGAGCATAACCCATTAAGGGATTACAAAAGCACATCAGTGGCTCACCACCAGCATCTTTTTAATGAAACAAAGAGAATGGACTCTCTCTAGGTTTTTTATGGCGTTCATTTGGATAAGGATCTATGCTCTGGGTGCCATGTCAAATGCGCTTCTTACTGAAGACTGGGTGCTAGGCACACTTTTTGGCTTCTGTATCCCTCAAAAGAGTTGTTTTCATCTATTTTTCAAACATTAGTGGGGCATCTGCTGTGAAAGTTTAAAAATAAGCTCCTTGAGGGACAGGGTCAAGTCCCAGCCTTCCACTAACTCTGAAACCTACCGCCTTGGCACATGGGCAGGAAGTGAAGGGAGGACAAGGGAGTTTGCTGGCGTCTGAGAATGTATATTCCTAGGAGGACCTTGGAGAAGTGAAGATCTTTGGTAGTACCTCTGGAGGCATCTCACACTTACCATTCAACCACAACATCTTAGAGGCCTCAGGTCTGGCAGTTTCCAGACTGTGCTCCGAGGAGCCCCTGGGCTCCTCAATGTGCTTCAGGGGTGCCCAGGGAAAGAGGTTCTTGCCTTCCTTCTCTAACTTCAACCAGAGCAGCTTTGCACTTTTTTATATAGGTTTTAAGGTGACATGTAAATTTATTTTGTCCCAAGGGCTCTAATTCCAGAGCATCGAACAACTAAAAAGCCTGAAAACTCTATTTTATTCAACTAATTTAAACCTAGGAAAACCTGAAATACCCAAGGAAAGTCAGCAGTGGAGAGGGAGACTGGCCCTCAGACCTCGGCTCCCCACCCTGTTCAGCCGTCCTTCCTCCACACTCCGCTGCAGCCCTGCTGAGTCCAGTTCTGCTCTGGGGGCAATTCCCAGTGGACACGTGGCAGTCCAACAAGACAGTGGTATAGCAGCAGGCTCCAAATCAAAGGAAAAGCAGAAGACAACACACGCTGTTTTAAATATCATAGAGAGAACATCCCCGGAGTTGTTTATCATGATTCAGACATGGACAAGCTTTGGGATCTTGGACAAGTCACTTCACATCTCTGGACTTTGTTTCTGCAGTCCTCTCTGGCCCTCTGTTCTGAGTCTCCATGGATAGAACTGATCATCACTAGAGAGAAAGGAGAGCCACAAACCTAATCTCCCAGGTGACAATTATTAACTCTACCAGTGTGACATGCCTTCTGGGGAGCGGTGGCAGCGGCCACCTGCAGTCCATCTCCACAGCAGGATGAAGTTTCCTGGAGAAGCCATGGAGGTGAAGAGAGGACTCAGGCTGCTAACTCAGCCCAGACCTGCACAAACACAGGGTAACT